TCCTTATCACAATTTTTACCCACTTAGTTCCTTAATTAATTTGTTAATCCCCATTAACCAATAATTATCCAATTATCCACATTACTAGGAATTATCTCAAATTACTTAAAACACCACTCACTTTAACACACTTTGTACACCTTATAATTACGGTCATATGGTACCTTATATGGCACTAGTCCATAAATACCGGGTATTATAGCTTGAACCGCATTTTATCCCAACATGATAATCTTCGACGAAATTATTTTCTTCGATTTACTTACCCTCTCACCTTCACGAATTTACTCATTACTTGTTTGAAATAGCATAATACTTATAATACAAAAAATATCTCATTCCTAAACTTTCGTCGATTAACTTACGACGAAACTTTAACGTACGAAAACATGGGGTGTAACATCATCCCCCCCCCCCCCCCTTTGGAACATTCGTCCTCAAAAGTTGGCTGATGCACTTATCATTATCATAGCCTATAGTCCTTGTGAATACTTTAGTACTCTCCTTTCCATCCTAGGAAGTTGTTCTATGAATAAACCCAAGGTCCAGGGTATTCCCACCTGTAGGTCTCCTTCTCACACCACGGCATGTGGTCGAAATTCTTCCAATCTCGTAACTCTTGCTACCTTCTTTCATGTAGCCTGTACGACTTTTTCCTTATATGTGCGCCTATGCGACTCTTCTTTCCTTTTTCCTCCAGCTTTTACCCAATCTCTAGGCTTCACTTTGTAAACATATACAGAGCTTGATAAGATGTCCCTCTAGTTATTTATGGGTATACCAAAGTTCTTTGTTTGGTACTTTTTGAACTCACGAATATTGCTATACCTTATTTCATAGATCCGCTTATCCATTCGTATGACTTCACTACATCTAGGTAGGTCATACTATACTATAACTCTTACTTCGATTTATCATTACTGAGGTCTGCTACCGAACTCTAGGTTACTTTCGTTGCTTATCCCATATGTATAAATCTATGTCCTTTAATGCTTACTCATTACTTGTTCATCTTAGGAATGGCGGCCTAATCTCACCTCATACTTTGTGACTTTTGTCCATCCACCGTTGATTCACCTTAATGTTGATCTATCATCTACCACTGATAGCTTGATCTCTTATGTAACACTGCTGCTAGAGCTCACGTCTCATCAGGGACATCTGGAGTAATTAGATTGATCCACCTAGGGGCGATACTATACTTCCATAACCGTATTTTATAGCATCCCAATATAACACACCTTACATTGGTATTTTAATCATGTACAATTCATGAAATCCTCTTCAAGTCATTACTCAAACGAGAGCCCAAACGTCATCCTATATCTATCACAATGACACCCTCATTCCACTTTAGATGCTATTAGTCTTAGATTCATTTGAGTTCATTCAGGCTATACTAAACTTTTTATAACTTAGAGAAACCATTAGCCTCTCGTTTTCATGGGCTTAATCTCGAGGACTTATCTATTCTCGTCACTTCTTACTTGCCCTTCCTCAATCTTACTCCTGTCATAAAACCTCGTCGCTTTACTATACTTTAGCTTGCGACCTCTACGTATTTATTTATACTATTCGCAACCTTCCTTCAACTTGCTTGCACCATAAATTCTCTTATGTTATTCTAGAACATCAAGCGAGACATCACATCGTCTCTAACTCTTCTTTACTCTCATGGCTAGATCTCTCGGTACCTAGAAACCAAAGGTTGGAAGATATACCAGTGACGACACCGCTATCAATACTGAATCCCAGCGCTTCTAGCCTTCTATCCAAAGTATGGACTATTCACAACCTTCTGCATTTGAGTATCTCGTACGTTATTCACCTTTTACCTTACTTACCTTAGAATCTCACGTCGTTCTTCCATCTCTTTCATGACCTTCCTTCCACCAAGGTGTAATTCACGTCTATAACATGAAGCTCTATTATAATACTTGCACCTCTGGTGCATACACAATCCGGTGGGAGCTTCATACTAACTTCTTATGAGGCTGGTACTCTTCTCACACGCTTTATCATAGAGCCATTATAAAATATGGCTACTGTACTATCTCTCTTGTACCTATGATATTAAGAGTGATTCTACAATGTTCTTAATCATGATGTCTATAATTTTCTGGGTCCAATAATCAGACTTCTGATTTTCTTAGTTGATGTAACTCTTTAGTTTCCTCTTCCTTCTGATCAGCCTTTATGTAGGCTTAAGCTATCTCCTGATATGCGGTTCATGGTATTAGTTATTATGTTTAGCCTTTCATGGACGCTATGGAATATCCATGATATAATCCTTTATCAATTCGAGTGCGCTCATAACGTAGCTACCTCTGGATCATTGATCGAATGATTCCTTTCGTTCCTTCTCAGTTTTCTTTAAGCGTACGCTATTACCTTTCCTAGTCTTTCTTCCCCCTTTTTGCGTGCATACTTAGCTTATCTTAGCTCTTACGCATGCTAGAATTTTTGTGCAACTCATATGATCTTCGAATATTACTTTTGATTTTACTTCCCGTTCACTAGCCACGGTAGGTTCTTCTTTCTTATGGAGGACGCACAATGTTGTTGTGAAACTGTTGTTACAACATGATTTCCTCTTTAGATTACTGTGTTTAGGTTGAAGCCTTCTTCCTCATTTCCTCAGCTAGTCTTTCAATGTAGTACTTAGGGAGGACCCTCTGACTCTTGTAAAGCCGCGAGCTTATTACATCGTATACCCAATAAAATTTTTGATGTCCTTCCTCACCTACAATTATCCGTAGTTACCTACCTCCATGCCCTTGTGCTTGTAGGGTTGCTTTTGAAC